ATGGCCACGAAAGCACCAAGGAGATGGAGATGTAATGAGAATAGTAGTGGGTCGGACAGAGGTGAGCTCTGGAAGATAACAAGCCAGATGAAAAGCTGCCAGTATAAGATGAAGATGAGACGGAGGATAGGTGGCGCCGCAGAACTAAGAAGTTGTATTTAAGTCAAAATTGGGAAAGGTAAGCAGACAGACAGCAAGGTCAAATCCGCATTCAGGTAAGGTTAATAATATAAGGCCGACAGAGCATCAGGCATGTAGTGAGGAGCCGGGAACGTGGTTTGTCAGCTGGCCGTGAGTTACGGTGTTAAAATCCAAATAGTTAGCTTGAATGTCATGGCCACCTTGTGCCAGAAGCTGCAGAAAACCTAGCTAGCCTGCCTCGGTCTCTTACTTCACGTGACGTATCCCATTTTTACCGCAAACTATCCCCTTGCAATACTTCCTTTATACTTTTCGTTGAGATGATTATCTTGTTTATCTATAGTACATACGAGATTGTGTCTCGAGTCTCCCTATCCGCAAAGTATTGCTACGCACCTAACACCACCATAAACAGGAGCCTCGCTGACATGCCTCCGACATCACCGCCTTGTATACGTTAATCGGCGAGAGTATACTCAGCCACTCGTATCCTTCATGCTTCGCTGTTACCACTTATGTCCAAACTACTCATAGTTTTGTATAAATATGCTACCCTGTGTAGACGAATAACTACTTCTCCATCTAGAACCTGCTTACATCTTACATTATCAATTTCTTCAATGCGAACTTTTTATGATCAGGAAGGTCTCTAACTTACCCTTGAAATGGTAATGCGTCACTTTCGAGTAAGTGAAATTGCAAATGTATAACTCGATAATATTTCATCGATAGAAGAGTAATTCTACCAATTCCGTTCTCTTCTCTACTAATTGACCCAACGTGGCATCACAGTCAATCCAAATATGATCTAGGCAAGTCAACGGTAAATTTCGTACGCTGCCCATTTTTTGTCTGGTACCAAAAATCCTTTTCTAACAATTCAAGCAAATAAAGATAACCGAACTGAGAACACTTTGATGCAATTGTATATTTTTCATGATCTGTTCAATTCTCTTATGTGCTACGCTCATCCAACCATTGACAGAACTCCTCAGAGTAAATGAAGGCTTTTTCACTTTCACTGATAAAGGATAGGCAGTGGTTTCTGAGCTCCGAGATGCTATTTCCAACCAAAGTCTCCGCGCCCATTCCAAATTCTTTGCAAGTCTCCCTATCACTACCGATGTCTCAGGCGTCGCGGTGGCAGTTGTTAACCAACAACACCTTGGTAAGAGAAGGTGACCTCTTGGGTTCTTCTGTAAAAGTTCACAACCAGTGCTATACCGTTTCCTCACACTTAGTAGAGATCTTTACAATATCTACTTAGTTAGTTGATCTTTACACCAAACAACCAAAGGCCACGACTTCTCACGCAACACTGGCAACAAGCTTCTTATCTTTGTGTTCATATTAGCCTCTGTCAAACACGCGCCATGAGTAACTAGATACCTAGCACCAGTCGCATATTTTAATTCCTACTTAAGTCATGTATCACATGTTGACAGCCGCAAAGCAGCCGCATTTTCACGAGTCAAGCACACCCTTCTTTTTGTCTACGGTCGCCCTTGCCTCCATGGCATCAGCTCAGGCTAACGTTGAGGCCATTTAACGCACCCCGAAGTTCCTTTCACAGAAGGTAGGTACACTTTTACCTAACCCCAGGAAAGAACATCCTTTCTGACATTTCCGCAGGATCTATTAGAAACCTTATGCTTATATGTTTCATACGCAACCTCTATGATTTATTTTAAGCACTTTTACATAAGCGCATTTGCGCAAACTTGAACCTGGTCCTCGATGTTTTTATTTGATCAGGCATAGAAAACGATTGTCGTACCGGAGCTCGCGTCTACATTCAATGCCAGCGTTACAAATTACATCGTCATATTTCTAGTTTTATTGGCTTGTTTTTTCGTCGGTCACTTGTTTGTCACATATGCACGTAGACCTGGTATTTAATTGAACTTACAAGCGCATTCGTATACATTCTTACATGTGTCGACTGTTTTACTAGATGGGTAGAAGCTGTACCGTAACAAAATATACAGCCCGGACTGTTATTCGGGCATTGTTGGACTGTTGGGATTCACGCTACTGATGGCACTGGACAACCACATCGATAGTAAAACGCCCCTTAAACCTCCACAATTCTATACCTTGTGCGGATTCTTATGCGGCTGCCGCATTTACGCCACAGCCCAACACGTAGTTTTCAAAGTTTCATTCAAACGCGTAGGCACGTTTCCAAAGGCCCACGCTACGCATCCTCTGGCTCTGTTAGGAGGAATTATATTTACCTAGTTCACATGGATATCCGCAGCGGCATCGAAATTCCTAGGGGTGCGCACAATAAGGGCCGATCAGGGCACAACACTAAGTTTACCGCATCCTGGGATATGCCTCTGCCTAACCATGCTTGCACCCTGGCTCCACATGTGTGTTCATCATGCTTCACTTCTCCGCGTGAGCAGAACAAAAATGTACGCATTCAAAGCGGACTGTCTAACTGCACGCACGACTTTCATCTCACTGACTCAGTGCGACGTGCAAGCCAACTTCTCTTGACTGGAATTTTCAGATTCTGCGACAAACTCCAAAGCACCTGAAGATAGACCCGTATGGCCACTGCGTATCGGTGTCCGTCAACCGCCTCAAAGTGGCGCCCTTTAACTAACCAATTGAAACGCATCCTGATACTAGCACCCAAACACATACACCCGGGTGTCCTGCCGAGCACTAAATAACTTGAAGCCCTCGAATGCTCTTGAAAATCGTCTAACATTAATTAACTGCACGAAACTGAATGAAGCGGTATACAGAAAAAGCATTAGAGGCGTATTTAAATTTTCAGTTAATTTTTGTTATTTCCATTGAAATGCTTTCCTTGACTTTAGTAGCAAGCATGCGGTTCACATAAAACGCTTTCGCAAAAGCAACGAATATCCAGAACATTTTGAAAAACTAAATGCTTATATGTTTTCTAATGCAGCTATGTTCGCACATCTGCATTATACCAGTTTTCACTAGCATTGCCACCCACCTTGTGTTATAGATCCCGAAAACTCAACTAGTATAAGATCCAAGGCGTTCCTCCAGCAAATCGCCAACCAGCTCCCTACCCTCTGCTCCAAACGACAAACTGTCCACCTCGACCGCTGAAGGCTGTAACCAGGTTTTTCCACAAAATCCTGGCTACTCGGTCCAAAGAAGCCTGGATTGCAAAGTAGGACGAACAACCTTTGGGACGTGAATTTGAAGCGTAGTAGTGTAGTATTAATTCGCAAGCTCACCATTGATTCTGCCCTGAAAATCACCAGATATGCTCTTTTCTGGGTTATCCAAATTTTCGCAGTCCCGTGAGCGTGCCAGAACGGCCCACAGACCACGCACTGCATTCCACACGCAACTAACAAAAAACAATGCAGCCTAGACAAAGAGGACTCACAAAACAACCCGTTTATAAAGTCCGTGCACAAGCACATATAATATTTTTTGCTACCATCCCCGTATACCCTGTTCTTGCCGATAGATCTGCCAAAGGCTTCCGCCAATCGAATTACTATAGAAGGCTTCTGTTGCGTAGTTGAAATCGCACTCTTTCTTCCAGCTGCAACAATGTTCTTCAATCTTGCTCAAACCATCCATAAGTTCCTTTGTTTTACCGACTACACATCAGTATCAAAATCTGATTTGTACTTTTTGTGATACACTGTTACTTGCACTTGCTGCTTTGCTTCCCTTTCCTTGTAGTCAGTACAATACACGTTGCAGCAAACTCCCTTTATCTTTTCTACCTCCTTTATTTGATACGATTAGTTAGTGTGAATGTTACCAGCTAATTCCCCAGCGGCCATCTTACAGTTTTCCACTAGTGCGGAACATGGCGCTAACGTTTGGTATATCCGGGGCGACGCTTCCTGGCATCACCGCATATTAGATAATATGTGTAGCGGAAATGATGTAAGGAATTTCTGGAGAGATGGCGTCTGTCTTTATAAGAAAGCTATTCACTTTGGCTGCGTGTGCGTTCCAAACTCAAAGCTGCGACCTCTAGTTTCTGTAAACCATGTCACAAGGACTCAGCTGGCCGTTTCTCAAAACGACGGTTGGTGGCTAGGATAGTCTGAAGTAAACCTCGTGGATTTTATTGGAGGGATACGCGAGCTTGTCTCAATATATATCAGCTGAAACAGCAAGAATATCAGTGGGTTTTTATGGATGACATTTGTTCCATGTTTGAAGGATAATACAAACCTCATCTTTCACACATCCGATAAAGAAAAGCGTATATCTGAGAAACTGCCATGGTGTTGGATCAACAAGTTCGATACCTAGCTATAGTTGTCCAAGTCTGGCTTGGTCGAAAGCTGCGGTGTGCTTCCTGATGGCAACTTTAATTCAGCTTAAAGCGCGCCATACAAGATATTAGCAAGCGAATTATTGTGAATGGAAGCGATATGCGTTTATATATTTGAAGCAACCTAGAATGCTAAACAAGTGAATGAATGCTTCAAATTAAAGACAGTGTTTTACTACGAAAACCAAACATGCTGGCTGAACACGTCGAAAGTAGGAACTGAATATCCCATAGGTTTTTCAAAAGCATAATATTTTACTCGGGCTGGCTAAATTTGTTTGATAGAATTAGGCGGAACCTTACGCTGGTTACAACTAATAACTGAGTTTCGGAATCTTAATAACTTATATTGGTGCACCGGCTTTCAATTTTGCCTGTAACACACAACTGGCCAATGGTATATTCTCTCGAAGAAAACTGCTAAGGAACGGTTTTATCGGGTCCTGTAACTTATGGGGACTCAAAACAAATCCTGTCATATAGAAGCAAATGTTGGTAGCTCAGGTTGTACAGTTGGTTGTCTGAATGTTTGCTGAGTTCAGCGAACATTCAGACAACCTACAAATCCTGTCCTTCTTATACATTAGTTCAACTAGAAAGCCGGGTTTCATCACGATCAATATTAGGCCGAACAGACAAAACGAAATATTTCTAGTGTCGTTTGCTGATCGACCATGTTGCTCCATTTCCTGGAGACAGGGCGAACAAAAAAATGGCAAACGGAGACTGCGAATTATTGTGCGAGCAGTCTGTGTATAGGCAAAGTAATTTCCTTCGCACCAGCAAGCTCGCATTTGTAAATACGACTATTTTAAAGCAATTTCGAAACTGTCATAACATTTTACTAGCAAAACAATTTGAAGACGCCAACTAGTGTTCAGTGCATCCCAAACATTCATGAATGCCCACAATTGCTTTGGTAGGCCGAATAAGGGATTAATTATGATCCACATGTACTTGCTTTTTAATAACTAATTACACACTTTTTGGTGTGCCTTGTTAAAATCGAGAATATAACTTTGCATATCCGTATGTTTTGGGCAGCAGGTGATGAACTGCAGCGACTGCTGTGCTCAATCTTTAGGGTAGTTAAGCGTATCTGGCTTTCAAGCGACGCTATCTGCGGTGATATTACGTGGATTGCTATAGGTTCTTTTGTCGCTGGTTTCGCAAGTTTCGCTGAAGTAGCACCAGGGTTAACCTGCGTGTGTATAATTTTATTCACTGGCTGTTGCCATTAGTTAACGCGGTCCATTGGATCTGAGCTTGCCATGGGTGGCAGGTCAATTTTACTGCGTGGATGCGTGACCTTCATATTTAGCGGAGTATCCCAACGTCAATGTTAGAAGAGCCCATTAGCTAAGGCTAGCTAATCTCTTATTTGTCGATGATTGAAAAGCTGTTGTAGTAGAACGTTTTCCGTAGCAGTGATTTGTGTCTAATAGTTTGTAGGAGAATCTCTTGTTCATTAAAAGAGAGGGCAAAATGTGAGGTCTTTAATTTATGAGGGTACACTATTATAAAGCCGAGATATATTATATATATACCAAAGTATATATATAAAGTATATATACACGGCGGTATATATATATTATATGGTTATACATTGCCATATTCGTGGGGTTCAAACAAATGTAAAATTTGGACGCAAAGTGCAACTTTCCATAAAGAAAGGTAACATTTTCAATATGGGAGACGTGCAACGCTGTGGCATTAAATACTTACGGGGTGGCTTATAGTGTGGAGCACTAATTACGGAATATCAGTTTAAATCTGTAATAGGTAACCAAACGAAGGGATAACAAGTGACGCATCACAAATAAATAGAGCAATCTCATCAGAATGAAAACGTAAATTGACAGGCCGCGTGTTATATTTCGGAGTAAGAAATTGCTGGTTGGCGCTTGAGTTAATAGTCAATAGCATTGACACGAACTACACGTGTCCAATACGGGACGGTACAAAAGCTTGAGGCAGTTGTACCCAACGTTTGCTGTACTGAGTACGATGCATCGTAAGTCAGTCACCGAGAGCAGGGTATATTTATTCTTTCGTTGGTTTTTGGTTGGCCGAAAGCAGAAGGAAGTTCGTTTGTCAGCTTGGTCCTTTCCTGAGCTTTTCGAGGGTTGCTGGGCTCATTGCGGCACAGGTTCCACAGAGGACCGCCATGGTTGTATTTTGGGGTAACAACCTTGCTGCCCACTAGGGAGTGCTAAACCAACATGCGGTTGAAGCGTTTCTCTGTCACCACAGCGTCGATTACATTCAGCAAGCTGTTCCAGTCATTCACTACACTGACGGATAGGTCTAGATGGGACCGCACACGGAGTCGCCGCCAATGAATCGGTTCAACCGGTTGCTTCGAGTTACACGCTTTGTTTTGGGGCAAAATAACGGTTGCGGCTCATTGCCCAGGTCACCTCTTAGAATAGTTCATGTACTTATCTATATCTGCGGATACGAAGATAAAGCAAAGAGAACAGTTCCAGCCGTTAAATTCTTCAGTGATAAAATATGCCCCGCAAAGCTAGAACGGATTTGCATCTACACCGTCGGACTTTTTCGATTATGTCACGTTCGGACTTGGTGAGAGGATACGCAGCAGGCAATCCGTACTCGGGAATTGGGTGCTCATGCAAGGCAAACAGTAGTCTGAAGGGTGCTAAGGTCAGGCTTGGAAAGGCTCTTCGTATAGCGTGAAGTATGGTGTAGGCAACGGCAATCCATTTTCGGGTGTCCTCGATTGCTTTAGGATCAGGAGACACACTCACTCCCAGTTCATAATCTTGGTTGACAATTTTGAGCAAGAAACTCTGATATCTTACCTTAGAAATGGTTCAGGAGCACCGATTGGAAGAACAGAGCATTTGTCAAGGTTAATGGACAGCTGCCACTATATTGACTAATCGTGAAGCAGGTCGAGCTTGGCTTGAAATCTGTGTGTATCTTCCAGGATGGATACCTAAATCCACAGCTTCGCAACTCCCGCGTACATTAAGCAATCGGTCAGCAGTTCAGATGTCATTTAGTTACTAAGTATATTGCAGAGTGTGTGGTAGAGTATAAAACCCTGTAGGAAACCACTATTCATGAGAACGTGATCAGAAAGCTCTTCGTTTATTTTGATATGCATGTAGCGATCGTCCAGTAATCACAGACTCGAGAAAGTAAAATGGCAATGACAGCGATTCTCTGGAGTTTGGAGAGAAGCCGCTCATGCCGGGCCTTGTCAAAATCCTTACTGAAAAAGAACCGTGTGTCCCGAGAATTACAAGAGCAAAGTTTGTGACGGAAGTGCATTCAGGTATAAAATAAATTTTTGGAATGCATGTGAAACGATAGTAATAGGCTTAACGGGTAAGATATCAGGTGCACTACAAAACGTAAATCCAGCTGGTACTGGTGACATCTGTGGCCAGCCAAATGAATAGCCGCCTCCAATGCATCCGCAACGCATTAACCAACCGCTTTTCATTGGTCGACACCGGTGCCGAGGTCAGCGTTCAATTCTGCTTAATAAACAATACGCTAATTCTTCATATAAGAGGTAACCTGCAGGCGGCTAACAAATGTTGATCTCGAATTATGTCCAAAAAACCTCACAATTAATCAAGGTCTCAAACCAACTTGTTCCGTCGTTTATTCATCTGCAGCATTCTAGCGTCTTAATATGGCTGTTAATTTTTTTCGCCTTTTGTCCTGCTAGTAAAACCAACGGCAAGATACCTTGCAACAGCTCTACCCCTTTTACGATACAATATAGAATTATTTGAATCAGTTCGATAGATCGTTGATAGGTGCAACCTACGGACAACGTGCTTACTGCATTCCTTCGACAGTTTCCTGTGCTCTCCATATTTTCCATCGAATGTAATCAGAGGTTGCCACCGTATTTTCACGAATGTTTCCTATGTTACTCTCAACCTCGACGGCCATCGCCAGAAAGCTCGTCACTTTCAATAATAAGTTCGCATACATGTCACGTCTTGAAATCCTTTGAACATCCAGCAGACCATAATCATCCCTGCTCCCTATGGTCCCTAAATGCCGAGCGCAGGGTGGCAATACTGCCGATACTATCGTGCATTGAATAACGCTATTTTACCAGACAGGTATTCGATCCAGCATATTCAAGAATTCCCACCAGTTTACATGTCAAATCGATCTTTTTCGAAATGCCTCTTGTCCGAAAATACTGCTATCTTCCTGTCGCTGGTCATGAAAAGCATATAACGGGAATAGTCACAACAATTATTATCTACGGCTTGCTTCGTATGCCGTCCGGCATTCAACTCTCCTCGCAGATTTCAGCGATTTATATACCAATTATTCTGTGGATTTGCTTTCGTCTTCTTAAACATTGACAATACACACGTACCCAGCTTGAGTAGAGAATTATATTTGTCACATCTTCGCTTAAATTTTCGTTGTGTTGCTCAATAATCTTCAACATCAACAGCAGTAAATGAGCTCGTAATTAGTCATTGTTGTTTGCCTTGGTAACCGAGTCAAACGTGGTAGTTTTAGCCAACTACATGAAGGTATGGTAGCTAACACAGACTAGCCGATGGCGTCAACAATCAAAAGTTCACGCTCCATGCTTGGAACGGTTAACATCTGATTCATTACATGTTGCGTTAGGCTCCTGCAGCTATTGACAGCTATGCTTAAATGCGATATCTCGTAATAGGCTTAGAACCGAAGAGAACAACTTGATTTCCGAAGTTTGTGAACACAAAGCAGTAGTTGTCAGATCCTGTTGTGGCAGCTTCAGCTTTGATGCAAAAGCTGGCCTGACGTTTTATACGTTGTCATGATTATCGCCTGCCAAAAGCTTTTGTATTCACAACCTTATTTCCTGCTGTAATGCGCCTAGCAGTTTGAAAACAAGAGCGCGCCTTCCGAGTCTTTTTCCCTTGGTAAATTGAGAATTGATTTTGACACATCCCAACTTCTCAGCATCAATCCATGTCAAACTGCTGTTGGTGCTGCCCTTAAGCAGCGGATAGACGATGAACCTATAGCATGCTTCTCATGAGTAAAATCTTGAATCTCCATAGAAGCGAGACGATAAATATCA